ATATCCCTTTTGTGTCTGTTTGTTGAATTCTCGTTAGATACTTAGCTTTCCTTTTTCATTTTAGCTTTCCTAGCAATCCATTGACCTGTGCAGAATGGATCTCGATTGTCGCCAGAGCAAGAAGAGATGACTTTTATAAGCCAGCCAAGAATTCGGTTATATGTTCGGATCACTTTGATAAATCGGATATATCCGGAAATACTAACCGACGTCGTTTGGTTAAAACAGCAGTTCCTAAATTACAGGTACATTAATTGATGATTCACAGTCAAATTGTAATTTTATATCTGTTTTCCTTTTGTGCATAAATGTATTTGTGAAACGATAAATCATCGTGTTGTTGGAATTCATGTTTATCTATTATTAAAGAGTATTTTCAAAACCACAGATTCAACCCCCGTTGCAGGACGTACAATTGGCATCACCCAATACCAAACTCTCAGTATCTGAAATTGACGTGCAAGTGAGTAATTTTTTAGCAGTAGGTGTCGTCAATTTTGTTATATGAGCTGCTAAATTATTATTTTATTGACAATACATATTTTTAAAAATACATTTAAATTTTTCAAAATTATTTCAGTAAAATAATGGGACTTAATATTTCTTATACTCTAACAATTTCGTTAAGTGATAATTTTTGAGAATTGAGATTTGTAGTTAATTTGAGTAATGTATATTCGCGCCATTACAGATAATTAAATGAGGACATACATTATTATTATTTTTTCAGCCTCTATCATCGAGTTCTGGGTTAGACCTTACACAAAAGGTCACCTATACCCAAGCCCAAGCAGAGCATATCTCTGTTATGACCTCTCCTGTTGGATCATTATCAGATTTAATATCAGTTTGTGCAACACCCAGAAAGAGGTTTCTGTATAAACAGTTACTCACTGCTCGCAAAGTCATAGATAATAAATCGAAAAAAATTCAAACATTGCAAAAAGTGAACAAGAGACTAAAGAAAAGAAACAGTTCTTTAAAAAATATGGTTTGTTTGTTGAAAAAAAAACTATATTTAAAAAAAACAAAAAAAATTAATAATAAAATGAACAAATAGGCTAAATAAAATTTTAACATTACTCATTGACATTGGACATCTTTGTCTTCCGTGATCACGGCTACTGAAAAGTGGCCGAAACATTGTAATAAAAATACCGCCCTTAAAACCGTTTAAACGTTGTTTTATTATAGTGTACTAGTCGCCAAAACTTAAGAATATACTATAAAAATACATATTACACAAAAACGTAAGCTAGTAAAATAATAAGTAATCTATAGATACTAACAAATATAGGTGCCTAAAACATAAAAAGTAAACAAGTAAATTTTTACTTTTATTTATATAATAAATTATTTTAGTGTTCAACGCGACTCCATTATCTCCTGTAGTAAATAGAAATCGGAATTCCAAGAAGCAAAAATAAAGAAAATAAAACGATGTAGCTCTCAAGGCATTAACGGAAAAAATTACTTTATTTGTAGCCCGTTAAAGTTGATTTCACATTAAATGTTGTTTAACATATGTCATTTCATTTGTAAGTGACAGGAGTAATTTATTGCTTTGCTCACTTCATTTTTTTAATGGATTTTATGACCTGGTAACTAAGACCTTTAAGTCATGTCTTATTTTAATTTATATTCCTAATTTTATGAAAAATGATAAAATGGAGTGAAATGAAATGAAGATGATTAATTTGAGACATTAATCAACTGGGATGAAATGCAATGAAATGAGATGATATGGAATGAAATATAATCGCAGTAAAATGGTGGTCATTTACTGAGATTTTTTCAGTGGACTTTTTGGAGGATCCCGAAAAGTTAGGTCCAGCGGCTTTGTCTCATTTTCCCACATTTGTGCACTTTCACAGATATTAAACAGTTAATAAACCACCATTATTACACATTTAAACCTGAAGAAACACTAAATAGAGAAAATAAAACAAATCACACAACTTCACTCCTCGCGTTCCCGCCAAAAAGTCCCAAAGTCGTGATTTAGTTATGGAGGGTATACGTAAGGAGAACCATCTCAGTATATTAAAAAGTGTCACTGAAGGGCAGCAAATTAAGATGGCGCCATAGTAGCAAGTGGAAAGATTTTAAAAACAGCGTCATAAGCTATTACAGTTCTGGTATATTCCGATTTGCACGGCGAGCACTGTAAAGTGTGACGTCAAATTAGTATACTGCGAAGCCGTTCCTTTACAGTACAGTATACTGTCATCAATTTCGTCATGGCAGTGTTTTTACTTCAGCAAAAAAATCTTGTTTAAATTTAGTTATATTTGAAAATAGAATATTCAAGTTTTTTCAGTTTAATTAATCGCTAAAAGTAAGTACCGGTAAAATGGGGCGATTAGGGATTGAGAGGCGAATCGGGAAAAAACTGGGAAAATCTTTCGACGCTCAATATAAGTTTTATATTCGTTGCAAAATCTTCCATTTTTTGTAGTTTAATAGTAGAATGTTGAAAGTTCACAAAACAACTCTGAATATGCATGATAATAGCTGCTAACTTATAAAAAATCGCGTTTCAAATTAACTTCCTGTGGTGGTAATTATTTTAGTGCTAGAAACTTTGCTCTCTTTTATTTATTTGATAATAATAGAAGACGACTATGATTTATAAACGTTATTTAGTGTTTGAACCAGCATATATATTAAAGGTAAGTCTCAGTTGTTATTGGTTTTAATGTATTTGATTAAATAAAAATACATGTAAAAATCTGTTGTTTTTGGGGATATTGGGGACGTCTTAGGTACAAATAACAACGAAAAAGGGGTCAATTGGGATGAGAATACGTGAAATGGAAACGACCTAAGTATAAATAGGTACAGGTTTGTAGGGTTGTCTATGTAGTTATAACAATATTTTTTTAAATTTGTTGGTAAACTGGTTTATTCGAAGCGAAATTGGGAATAAGTCTTTAGTTGAAATAGATAAGCAATTTAATATAAGTAAGTCGATTTTGCAGAGACATGTAACAAGATCAATGAAATCTCGAGGTGGACAAAAATATAATAAAATATTTAATATTTGTTCAGAGTGGGGGTATTCATCTGATTAATCCATGGAATAACCGACACACCTAATCTCTTAACCCAGATAGAAATATCAGCCCCTAAGTACTTACCAAGAACGGAGAAATATAAACCGTTTCTAAGAAAGCCCACTATATATGTATAAATATATATGTATATGTATATATATATATATAATATGTTGTTAATGCACTGTCGATTGCACCTATAATTGAGGTGTCTGCCATGTACTTTTGTCAGTTTTTCAATTTTTTTTATTGATGATCACTTTGTTGGTGCAACTAAATAAATAAATTAATTAAAACTATATATAAAAATAAAAGTAGTGCCAACCCTAGCAAATTTCTCATTACGTCCCAATTAACCGCAATTTTCGGGTAAATAGGGATTACACCTATTTTTGCATTTTTTGCTTAAACTGGAATGCTAGTTGCATAATTTTAAATTAGACAACAAAGATGCCCCCAAGACTCAATCATTTTGATCCTGATATAGCATTATATATATCAACAACTACCTTAAAATTGCTCATAAAGTTGGAACTTGTCCCTAATCGCCCCATTTTACGGTATATTTTTAGTAAAAGAAAATATTGTTTTTCAAGCAATTTAATCTACAATAACTTAATAACCGTATTATTGAAATGAGGTTATGCACGGTAAAAGTGCTGAAGTAAAGATTTATGAAATCATGTATCATTCCTCCATTCCATTCATAGCGGTGAGAGAGAGCACTGAACAGTGCTCGCAGTGTAAATCGGAACATAGCCTTCACTGCAATCCAGCACACTTGACTCAGTTTAAAACTTCTATATTCATATTATTTCCCCTTGCTACACTAGCGTTAATTCGATGAGTTTTCGAACTATAATTTGCTGTTTACAGATGGACACTTTTTCAACTTGTCCCCTATACAAGATGGTGCTCCTTACCTCTACCCTCCATAGATTTAGTGAAAAATGCACAGATAATATAGAAAAAATTAGGATATACGTTTCGTTTCACGCTGTGAAGATCTTGAACTGGCATCAAGAGCCATAGACGATGGTGACAAAATCAAATTAGGAAACTCGTAATTATATATATATTAGCAGTCAAAGGCGTCTCTAACCTGTGTAGGGCCCGTGTGCAATAATTACCCTAGCGCCCTCTAGTCAGGGCACGGTAAAAATTGAATAGGTACAAATGTAACAGGTTCTTTGACAGTTCCAAGCCCGGCGTCTTCTGACACCGCTGCGCCCACACTCTACGCCCTGGGTAAAGCTGCTTCTGTCAGCAGCGTCAAGCACCAATCACAGACCTCGCCAGCGAACTTACACATAAACACATCCCACTGAGTTTCACGTCAGATCTTCTCAGTAGGTCGGGATTTCGCAAGTGGTGGTCGTTTTGTAAGTGGTAGATTCTGCGAAGCACTGCTCTCGTTAGGATTAGCAGATTCTCTCGGGTTAAGCCCGTGAGTTCACGTACCTGTCTGCGCGAACTATAATAGCCCCTTAGGCTACCAGAGAAAAGTATGGAAAAAGTCAGCAGTTCCCAAAGTTTACGTATTATAAATATAGAAGTCATTAGGGCCTAAAGTTTAAGATGCCCGGTGAATTCACATCGAGCGATCCGACGGTGCCGGTATTCGAATCTGGATGCCGATTTTTCTCTACAGTGATGGAAATAACATCGTGTAATAAAAATGATAAAAGCAAAAAAAAAATTGTGACCTCTATATATTTGTATGTAGGTACAAAAAATGCATGTCTGTCTGTCCACTTTTTCGCCTGACAAATTAGCACTGGCTGAAAATTATAATTTCCTAAAAAAATAATTAATTTTACTATTTCACAATTTGAGTCTTGTCATAATATGAAGTTTGGTAAGAGTCAAACATTTTATTTGAAAGAGAAGTGCGATTGGCGTTTTTTTGAAAGCATTTTTAAACGTTAAGAACTAATTAATAAAATGGGAATAAATAAATATCCCAATTGCGTTGAAATCAAACGTCAAAAGCCCGCCATCACTGTCAATGAAGGTAAGGCAGTGTAAGATCGTTTTAGTTTCGTGAATGTCACATGTTTGACTGTCATGTGATTTAGTGGGAGATTGTTTAGTCCAGCGGCTCTCAACCATCGTGTCATGTCGCTAGCCCCTGTCAAGTGTAGCGGGGTAGGTGGCGGCATTTAGTGTAAATTTACATGTTTTGCTTTACATTAAAAATAAACAGTAAAATTTCGGTTATTCTCATAAATTGTGTTCATGCCCTTAATGTATTTAACTAAATGGTTTTAAACAAAAATCTCGTTACCGTGTTGCAGAAGCACCGTGTTTTATGAGTGGTAATTTTTCTTGTTTAGAGTGGAACCGTGTTGTAAAATACCGTGTTAAAGGGGGGTTACCTGTACATAAAATTGATAAAAATGTTGCTACCGACAGCCCTGATTACTGGCCCCTATGTCTATGGTAATGTAGTACCTTCGATTATATTGCCTTTTTTTTCTTTTAGATATAACAAAAGCAATAGGTTCAAACTACCGTACGCTGCCATTATTCGAAAAAGGCCTATACGAATACAACTATAAGATTTATTATTCGTTAAATAATAACGAGTATTTAAAATGTAGATGGCTGGAGTATAAGAAACATATTGAAGATCGTGTCTTCTCACCGTTTCAGTTCATCGACATAAGGTAAAACGCGGCTGTATGTTTAGAGCTCTGTTCTTTTTGCGCATTTTTTCTGAGTGTATTCATGACTTGGAGGGTTGGAGCAAGGAGGACCATTTCAGTGTTTTAAAAAGTGTCAGCTGAAGGGAGCCAATTAAGATGGGGCCATAGTAGCGAGCGGCGACGACGAGACACAACCCTGTCCACTGACATCCACGACTATATTGCCAAGAGTATCCGACTAGGAAGAATAGTAGCAAGTGGAAGGAAATTAAAAACAGGGCCATTAACCCTTCACTTCAATCTAGCTTACGTCACTCTGTTTGAAACTGCTTTATTCATATCATTTCGACTTCCTACACTAGCGCTATTTTGTTAGGTCTTCCAACAATAACTCGCTGTTTGCAGGTGGACGCTTTTTCAACTTGTCCCATAAACAAGATTGTGCTCCTTACCTTCTCTACCCTCCTTAACTGGACCGTCAGCCTGTTCATAGATTAAATCACATTGACTACCTACTGTTTAGAAAGATCTTTAAAATTGCTTCTTAATGGTGATATGTTTTTTTTACAAAACAACTTTCAGAGATTATCATTTCTACAACTGCAAAAATCGTTATATACCGTCACAATCGATTTACGCAAAGCAGGATTTCCGTTACAAAATGAGTTTGGGCCCTGGCGTCGACGAATATGGCCAAATACCGATCCCGCAAGACATACTGATGAAACGCGGCGACGCGAAGATTAAAAAAAATAATGTAAAGGCGGGAAAAGAAAAGAAAAATGGCTGAAAATTTACCTTTTTATGTACTTAAATTTGTTTGTTAAAACTTTTGTATGCTAAGTTTATTATTGTTGTACTGTTTTAAGTTTTTGTTTTTTCTTAAGTAAAAAAACTTTAAGTTTATTTCTATTTAATAAACTACTGCAATTCTAATTTTCTCAGTTGTTTTCTTTATTGGATTGTGGTAGTTTATAAGATTATTTATTGAGTTTTTATTCGTCTATTGACTCATCCTACTTCCTGTTAATCTAATCTAAACAAATGAATTATGACACTTAAGTGACATTTGAAGAGGGTCTTTTTTTGTCTATAAAAAAATTGTATTGGAACTGAAACCGTTTGGTTTTTATTTTATCAAATACTTAACATTGTACAAAAAAACATATAATTTCACACCCAGCGAGGTCTTTATTTTTTATTAAATGGAAAATAAAAGATAAGTTTGAGGTTATTTGGGCAATTTTCTACGTGATAAAAAGCTTTCTTCTCAGGAGGCAGTACAAAATGCTTTCACAGTTTGTAGAATCTAGATCACCAGAGTTCTAACGCAAAGGCATAAATGCCTCCAATGAACACTACTCTAACTCAAAATTTTGAAATTTTCGTTTTTCACGCAAATCGCTTCACTATTTTAAAAGGATTACAAATCATTAGGTATTGATGGGGTTCGAAGCAAGAGTAAATCTGCTAGTTACAAAAAAAAAACATAAATATATCTGCAATAATAAAGATTTTATCAACTTTTTTCGTTTAAACGCTCCGCCTGTAAACCTACGAATTTGGAGTTAGCGTAGTGTTCATTGGAGGCATCGATGACCTTCCAAATCCAGATTTGGATAAAAGAAAATCATCAAGTAAGATCAATAATGTTCACGAAGCGAAGCGAGGGTGGGTCGTAAGTAAAAAAATAAAATGAACAAGGAATGTAATGTTTACTATTTATTGGGTACTACTACTAATTAAAGAAAAAAAAACCACAATATGAAATTATTATTAATTACGCTTATCACAAGTTCTATTTGACGCGCCATGGACGCCATATTTGTTTATAATTGACAGATGAATACACAATAAAAAAAAACCGATGCATTCTCTAATAAAACGCACGCTTATAATAAAACACTAAAGTTTGTACATTTTTATTTGTTTAAATGAAAAAATAATTATGGATTGGTTATTTATTACATAATACAATTTTACGCCATATTTTTTTATTGGTTACATTTCAAAACGGATTCGAACGTAATGGCGGCGTTACATGCAAAATATTTATACGTTCAATCCGAGGAGTTTCTTGTCGAAGATGAACTCTCCGAGGGCGGCGTGCTTGTCCATCATCTTCTTGAGGGTCGAGGCCTTGCCGGCGAGGTCGCGTTGGCCCTTATACTGTTCGTCTAGGAATTCCCCGGACAAATAGTCGACCAGGTGGTAATCGTTGAAGCTGCTCTCGCAGGTCTTGATGACCTCCCGGATGCTGTTGGTGACGTCACTCTCCAGCTTGAGGGCGTGCTCGAGGGCTGATGCGCCGCTCTCCCACGACGTGTTGGCGGGGGCCTGGGTAGAGGGGACGAATCGTCGGTGAATTAATTACATCTAGACCAGTGGTGGGCCACAAAGTTTAAGAAATTATAGAGGGCCAGAATTATAGAAAAATTTTTTTTTTTTTATTGCCCCTATAGGCTGACGAGCATACGGCCCACCTGATGATGAGTGGTTACCGTCGCCCATGGACTTCAGCAATGGCAGGGACAGAGCCAAGCCAGTAGGACGTCGTGTGAGTCCGCGCGGGTAGGTACCACCTCTCCACCTACACAGCCACTCCACAAAACAGCGACCTCCTCCACGATGCCGAGGTCAGTATTTTGCGTGCTAGAGGATTTCTGTGCTTGTGGTAGGACCTCTTGTGAGTCCGCGCGGGTAGGTACCACCACCCTGCCTATTTCTGCCGTGAAGCAGTAATGCGTTTCGGCTTGAAGGGTGGGGCAGCCATTGTAACTATACTGAGACCTTAGAGCTCATATCTCAAGGTGGGTGGTGGCATTTACGTTGTAGATGTCTAATATCCATGATTTTGTTGACAAACATCCGAGACATGCAAATTTGGACTTTAAATTTATTGTTATACGTTATAGATTACCCTGTACGTGATGAGGTCGGTTACGGAGCCTGTCAGCTTTCCCCTCATGAGCAGGTAGTCAATGAGCTTGGTCGCGTGCTCGCGTTCTTCGGTCGCAGCATCGAAGAATAACTTCGCGAAGCCGGGACGGTTCACCTGGAAGACACGGAATTGCCTATTTCAACTAATAAAAAAAAAACATTTAATTCAGACCATTATGTTGTTAGTAGAGTAATACTTATAACTATATTAGTAAATGAGGCTGCGAAATGAGAAAGTTTCTAAATAATTAATTATAATAAACATTCATTTCAAATCATAAATTACGTAAAACCCCAAAGTAACACGAGAACAATGAATTAATAATGGTTTAAAAAAACTAACAAAATACGCTTTTATAGAAAATACAACTAAAAAATAGAAAATAAATTTATTTTCTAAATATTTATTTTTTTAAATTTATTTTCAATTTTTATTATTATTTATTTGATAAATTTATTTTCTATTTTTTAGTTGGATTTTCTATAAAAGCGTATTTTTTTAGTTTTTTAAACTATTATTTATTTTTCATTTTTTAGTTGAATGTCAATTTTTTCAATATTATTTACTTCAATATTTTTTTAAAATATTGAACTGTCATCGGTCCTTAATAAGTATACTAAATTTCGAGTTAATCCGACGTTTTGAAGGGGGTCAAAATCATGTTCAAAGATTCCGTTACATACTAACATATATACGTCTGAAGCTAATAATAAAAGCGTATTAATAAAGCAGTTTAGGCCACAGCATCAGTCCACCGAGTTTCTGGCCGAATCTTCTCGATATCATTCGACTTCATAATAGTATAGTAAATGCATTCATGAAAACCTCTAGTTTTGAGCTGGTATACCTCCCTGATAATTTAGCAAGCCTTTCCAGTACAGGCCATCAAGTTATCCCTCCTACCCGCATTAGTAAATCAAAAAAGGTACCCACGGTTTTTATTTACTTACCGTATCGATCGAGAAGTAAGCTCCCATGGCTAAGTACTGGATTGACGCGGCCACTTCCTCCTGGATCTGCTTCCTCATCATGTTGTAGCAAGTCTGCTCCATGGTGAGCCACTCATCCCTGATGGTGACGGGGCTGACGTAACCTGATTCGTAATACTTCGTTTATTGCACACGAAAATAAAACTAGCAAATTATATTATACTAGCGACCCGCCCTCGCTTCGCTTCGGAAACATTACATTGTATTATTGGTAGGAGAGTCCCGTGATGTTACCCGCGGTTATTGTCGTACCGCGGGTGACGCCGCGGGGCGAAGCTAGTCTAAACTAGTCTGGCCTAAGTTACTCCTTATATCATCAGCTAACTATCAGTGAAAGTCCAGTCAAAATCGATCTTGCCGTTCTAGAGATTAGCCGGAACAAACAAACAGACAGACACAAATTGTAAAAAATGTTATTTTGGTCTATGTACCGTATATAATAATAATATATTCATATGCATGTAGTAAATCGGTTATTTCAATATCACAAACAGACACTCCAATTTCATTTATATGTATAGATATTATTATCGATTCCAGGCAACCCCCGACCAAGAGCCAGTGCTAAACTATAAAAACGATCCTTCGCTGCGCCTTTACCCCATACTCGATCCTGTAGACCGAATGGTAAACAGTCGACGTCGCCCAAAACACGTCTTTACAGATCCTCATGATTCATTAACGGTGCTTTTAGGTACCACAAACACCGGTCACCGTCCACGTCGAACCCGTCGCTTGCGACGAAGAGCTCGATGAGCGAATTAACCCACAGACACAGCCCACTGAGTTCCTCGCCGGATCTTCTCAGAGGGTCGCGTTTCCGATCCGGTGGTAGATTCTGCGAAGCACTGCTCTTGCTAGGGCCAGTGTTAGCACCACTCCGGTTTGAGCCCCATGAGCTCACCTACATGTTAGGACGAAGCTGATATAACCTCTCAAGGCTAGGTAAAATTTACGAAGATTATGGTGTATTTGGTGATTTAAGCCTTATGGGTCCCCCATTAGCTATATATATGAGTCCCATAACATCTCACACATCATCACACATTCAATCGGAGACTTCAAGATTGATGTCTGTAAAAATCACATCTCAAGATTCCTTTACATAGTTGTCGTTACATATGTCGTTTGAAAAACTAGTGTGTTCATACGATGTTTTGGTATAAATAAAATATTTGATTTCTATTAATAATATTATAGTACAAATAGGTTCAAAGACATATTAGGCTATCTCCTTCCTAGGTTAGATTTGGTTAGAACTCTCTCAGTTTGCTCCATGAAAGCGAAATCGGTGTATATTCGTCGGGGGACAATGGACTGGTGGAAAAGTACGGTCCGTTTCTGCGTAGGGAAATGCACACTGCAATTAGCAGATTGTCGTTGTTGGCATTCATCCAAATATTTACAATCGAAACTCCATTTAGAACTATCTAGAAGACACAACGTAACTTCGTATTGTTTGTCTAGTTAAAAAAAAAACACAAATAAACTTCAAATATGTATATAAATATCAAATTCAATCCTATTGAAATAGAAATTCTATTGGAATAGAAAAAGAATTTTAACTTCGAAGGTTACAATTTTTTTATTCCTATAAATTAATTAAATTAGATGGGTGGACGATCTCACAGCCCGTCTGGTGTTAAGTGGTTACTGGAGCCCATAGACATCTACAACATAAATGCGCCACCCATCTTGAGACATAAGTTCTAAGGTCTCAGTATAGTTACAACGGCTGCCCCGCCCTTCAAACCGAAACGCATTACTGCTTCACAGCAAAAATAGGAAGGATGGTGGTACGTATCCGCGCAGACTCACAAGAGGTCCTACCACCACTAATAAATAACTTCAAGTCACGTC